CAGAAACCACAGTCCCCACCCAATCTTCAACCCACACCCCAGATGGGATAATGGACAGGGTGAGGCTCAGAAACAAGGTATGTCTTTTGTTTGCATTTTTTTTAAAAAAAAATATTTCTTAAGAGGAAATATTAAGTTCTTTCATTTTATTTTCTTTACCAAGTGAAAATTCTCCTGGGAGATGTAATAAATACATATTACTAGTAATTCACCGTTAGTATTAATGGGCTCTCATAGGAATAGGGGAAGGAGTTTGACGTCACTTGACTTTCCTCCCAGGGAAAGGGAGTCAATAAAGGATGTGAAAGAAAAGGAATAGAACTGAAGACCCCTTAAGTTGCAATTCAAGTATGTTTCTTCATCCCACTTTCCCTAAGAGTCTTCCCCTACTGAGCTACTAGATAGAGAAATGGGAGCAATTTCATGGTAGTCAACATCCTTAAGCCTCCTTTAAATCACTAAATTGTTTTTGAGAGGCATGACTTCTCTCTTCGTAGGTGTATTTCTATTTCACTCCGCTTTTCCTCTTCTTTTTCGCACTCTTTTTTCCATCATTCCAAGCTAGGGATTGCAAACCATGGCCAAACCCAACTACTCCCATTTTTATGAATGAAGTTTTACTGGAACTAAGCCATGTCCTCTCATTTTTACCTGTCTATGGTAATATTTGCTCTCTAATAGCAGATTTGAGTGGTTCAGAAAGAGACTGCATGGTCCACAAAGCCTAACATATTTATTGTTTGTCTCATTACAGAAAGAGTTTGGTAGCATTTACTGTCAACTACTGGTGGACCCTAACCTCACTTTCCCAGGGTATGGCTTGGCCTTTCTGAGCCTGAAAGTCTGGAAAACCTTAAACAGGACAAAATACAGGTTCTAGAAATTATGCTAAACTCCAGGTCAAAAGAAGCACTTGCTAGGAATGATCTGAAATCATAGATTCAGTTTCTAATTTTTGAGAATTCTCAATGAACTTAAAATTTTCTTTTAGGAGAAATACAAATACAAATATCCAAATATTTTGATTAAGAATAATGATTACTATTATTGTATGCTTTTCATGTATTAAGTACAGTTTTACACACCTTACAGGTAATTATTACCTTTTTAAATTCTTGTATCAACCCTAGGAGATGAGTTCTATGCTTATCTCTATTTTGTAGTTGAAAAAGCAGATTAGAAAGGACAAGAAACTTGCCTAAGTTTGCACTGCTGAGAATTAATAGAGCTGGAACACATGCCCAAGGATTCTCAAGCAAAACTCATGGTTTACAGTCAGGGGTAATGCTGTTCTAAGGCTAGAGGTGGAGTTTTCCACAGCCCCAAGTCTAGAATCCGAAGCCCCTGAGAAAGAGCTGACCCTTCCTGTTCAAGGCTCAGACTCCCGAGGGAGAGAGCTACTGTAAACAACAGGAGAAGAACAGAAATCTATCATCAAATCTAAGAGGTAACTTCTTTGATTTAAGAGGTTTCAGGTTAAATATGTCAGCTCAAGCACAGACATTTATCCTTTCTTCCACTTAGGCCTACTAAAAATGATGCTAAAAGAATAAAAAGGTTACAAACCCTCAAGAAGTAAAGAAGCGGGATAGGAAGCTTCAGCACATAAGAAATCAGATACATTGTTACAGGGGAAAAAGTCAAGAAGAAGTGGTAACCAACCTAACTGTGCCAGGAAAGTCAGAAGCAAAAGTCCCTGCAGAGGGAACTATGACTGGGAAGAGTGATGACCTCCTGCAGAATCACTCAGAGGCTAAGGAACTAAATGGGCTGGATATTGCTCCAGGCAGCCGCGAGGCTGAGGTCTAAACACCGACAGGATGGTGGAGGTGGTAGTAAAAGTCTGCATTTAAAGTGCTTGTATTCTAAATCCCTTCCATCACACCACATAGTCTCCAGGCAGAAGGCTGTAGGTGTGACCTTCTAAAAGTAATAAACTGGAGAATCTCAAAGCTTAGCAAAGGAAAGGAAAAAAATGAAGAAGCAAAAGCTGAGAGATTCAAGAAGCTTTATGGACCTCCCTGCTAACCTGTTTTAGTAGTACTGTTCCTAGAGCTGTTACAGCAAAGTAAGGTATATGCTGTACCCTCAAGGTTTCTGCTCTCACATTCTTTACTGGAGATGCCAAACACCTCTGGAATACCGTATATGACAGGTGGAACATCACCTAATAAAGATGCCACTCTCCTCTGCCCACAAAGTTTTCAGAAAACTTCACTCTTAAATAAGAATAGATTTTCACAGATTAAAACATTTGAGGAAAACCTCCAGAATAAAAGAGATAAGAGTAAACCAACAGAGAAAAGGGAATCCAGAAGAAATATAGATAATGTAAGAATAAAACTGATTCACAGACTGATAATATCCTTAGATAGATAAGAAAATACTGCAACCATGAATAAAAACTGGATGGCATAAAAAGAGGAATAATCAGACAAAAAGAAATAATTCTTGGAAACTAAAATTACGATAGGTGAAACTGTTTTCAAAAACTCAGAAGAGGATTTGGAAGACATCATGCAATCTTTCCAGAAGAAAATAACAGAGGATATAGACATGAGAATTAGAAAAGGAAAAGAAAGACAGAGGATCAGTCTAGTTATTCAGACATCTAATTTATAAAAGTTCCATAAAAATAAAATTTTAAATGGTGAGGCAGAAATGATCAAATATAAAATATAAGAAAATTTCTCTAAACTAAAATTATAAAACTTCTAATGGTCTTGTACCCTCATAACCTCTAGTGGATGCAGAATATCCAGCCAAAAAATTTTTTCTTAAATCCCAAATCATATCATTGCAAAATTTCAGAACAAGACCATCGGGAAAATTCTCAAAAAATTCCACTGAGAAAATCCAGGTCATATGCAAAGGTGTAACAATCAGAGTAGCATAAGACTTCTCAGAAACAATAATTTTCTGGATGGCAATAAAACAATGCCTTCAAAATGCTGAGTGAGCAGTAATTTCCAACCCAGTCAATTCTTTAACCAGCCAAACTAAGTTAGGTGGAAGTAGAGGAAAGGAAGACTGCTATGGAAACTCAGATATGACTTCCTTGCATCTTGTAGCTCCCTGGTTTCTTTCTTCAGAAGCTATTGCAGTAATACTATATGGATAAAAAGTAATAAACCAAGGAAGAAAAATACTTAGGAGATCTGGGAAATAGGACACCCCTACCAAAACAATGGTAAAGGGGGTCCTTGTGGTGGCAGCTACACAGTGGCTATGCAGGAGACCTCTACATTGTTATCATTTGTTTTTAATGGAATTGAGTAAATGATAAATTCAAATATTTGGGAGGAAACAGAGAACTGAGTAATATTTAATAGATTTGACAGATCAATTGGGGAAAAGTAAGAAGAGTCAATGGTCATCTTAAATGCTTTTCATGAAATATTGTTTACCTTTTGCCTTTCAGACCCATAATAGAGTTGCTCTTTTAAGGTACCTTATGGATGGTAGAGCCTTTGACTTTAATTCCGGTCAAGAAATCATGAACAAATGTGATATGCATCACTTCTGTGCCAGGCCTATTGCCTGGCAGAGTGCTCTTCTCTCTGGCATGGAGACCAACTAGGTTCAATATGATGGTTGCTCCAAGAACCCAAGACCTTGAGTGACTTCAGTAAACAGAGTCCTTTCCCTCCTAACTCTTTCAACCCACAGTGGACAGATAGCACAAATAAGATATAAATTTCTGCAGTTTCCAGCTGCTAAGGTGTTGATGTTGGTTGTTACACAACAAAATCTAGCCCAACCTGACAAGCACATGAACATCCACATATAAAAATGGGGTTACAGTTAGTATCATATATGACTGATTCTATACTGACAATATTTATGTCATTGTAATAATCAAAATTCTGACTATTTATTAAAAATTTTTTATATATTAAGGCATTGGAGGGAGAAAAGGCAAAGATGGTGTTTATTTAAAAGAGCTAAATCTATCTATCAGAAAGAGGCCAAAGATAATGGCTAAAGTTGATAAATCAAGACCAGTTTTTTAAGGCATATTATGTGAGAAATATGGACACACTAGAAAAAGCAACTTTGAGTACTGAAAGAGGTTTTATCTGAGTAACAGAACTAGGCAGTGGGAACAAGGAACTGCTTTCTTTACACATGGGGTCTAACACCACTTTATTTTAACTATGTGTATGCATCGCTTATATCAAAATGAATCTCAATAGTGATTCGTTTTTATCTCTATTTTAGAAGAATTGAGCATAAGTTGGCTTCCCCCTCATCTCACTGAATTCATGCAATCGAAGACAAAGCTGTGTACATTCTTGCCCATTCTCCATCTCGAAGCTTCTTGTTGGCTCCAAGGAGATTCTCAAAGCCCAAGGGGGAGCATGTCAGGGCTAAGCAAAGGCATCCAGGCTCCCCTGAGAAAGCAACAGTGTCATCAAGTCTGACTCATCTGAAAAGCAAAACCTTTGCAGAGCCAAGCCTTGGAGAGGTGCTGGGGAGAAGGTGGAAGAAGATACACAGTTGGTGAATTATTCTGGCAACTGGTCTCCTGAAATTAACTCCAGGTCTGAGAGTTCCATCGTTGCTTATAAGCTTATTAATAATTAAATGTCAGGCCAGTTAAGTCAGGGTTTCAGAGGACCCACCCTCTCAGTGCCAGTATCTCCAATAAAGTAAACCCCAAGACCCAAGCAGCCCTATGTAATATGCAGTTACAGGTCCTCCCTACCTTCCCAAGTTGCTTCCTAGGCTGGGGTGAGTTGTTTTAAGAGAGAAAAGCTTCAGAGGTTCTTACCCAGCAGGTAGAAAATGGCAAGGCTCAACAAGCCAGCCAAATAGACGGTTGGAAATACTCCAAGAATTATAGATTGCTAGCATGTTATTTTTAATAGTAATAAATAATAGAAATAATAGCCTTGCTATGTACTAGTAACTGTTCTAAGCATTTCAGGTATTACCTCACATGGTTGGTGTTATTTCACAAATAAAAAACTGAGGCACTCAGGAATTAAATATCTTACCAAAAGTTGCAAAAGCAGTCACAGCTACAGTGGTGCAATTTGAACCCAGCTATCTGGATGGTTCCAGGGACTACAATTAGTCAGTCACAGTATTTGGAGAAAGAATTGTTTTCTCAAGTTCCACTGGAGAGTTCTGCATCAAATAGAGAAAGTCTGCTTTTTAAAAATGCCATCGCTACTGACAATTCACAAAGCATGGATATATGTGAAACAATCATTCCCTGACTGCATAGGTCTACTATTTATATGAAGCTATTTAACTTAATTACAAATAATTTAGGCTACAGATGGGAGCAAAGAAACATTAAGGATCTTGATTTTGAAACTGTTCTAAAATAGCCTTTAAAAACCAGGAGGCAAATTGTCTTTCCAAATGGAAATGAATGTGTGATGCCGTGAAGTCTTAAAGTTATTAGCATCTTTTGCTGAGCCCTCAATCTATTCTCTTTGTCATTTACACGATGTACAGTCTTTAATTTTAGCTCCACGATCAAAGTGATGAAACTCGAGAAGCTCCCTATTCAAATCAATGGCTGTACTTGAAGTGAGGAATGGCAGGGATATGATGGTCGCTTCTCACCTCTGACAAAATGGGACACCACAGCCCCTTAATTGTTTCAGGCAGAGACCCGTGCCCAGGCTCTAGGGGAGGAGTCTTAAATCTCTCTCTCTCTCTATCTCTCTCTCTCTCTCTCTTTCTCTCTCTCTCTCTCACCCACACACACACTCACACACACACAGAGCTGAAAAGAGCACAGCCTCACCCACCCCCATTCCACCGTACCTGTGAGGCTCCGTTGCTGAAGGCAGTGCCAGGAAACATGTTTTTAGGAATTCAGAGTATCACGTTTCATAATTTGATTTAAATCAATTATCCCATCCCTCCCTGGAACAGGCACAAGCTCCAAAAATACAAAATGTAAATGGAACCAGCTGCAGCAAAGGCCTTTTGCCAGGATGAATTTCAGTCAACGTAATCAGCCTCCTTTTCGAAGTACATTATTGTTGAGACCCAGAGATTTCGTGAAACACTTCCAGTGCCCTGGGCGGGACCAGGAAGGTAACCAATTACGAGAGGGGAGAAATAGAAGGAGCTAATCTTCTCTGTCCTGGCTTGCCTTTGCCCCGAACTCTTAAAAAAAAAAATAATTCACTCCTCTGGGGGTTACTGGGAAACTGAGGTCGTTATTGGCAGTCTTCAAACACTATCCTTAATTTATGGATATTTACTAAACCACATAATCGCCCTGAGTTATCCCATTACAGGGCTCAGCAGAGCCGAGGTCTGCATCCCTGAGTGTGAAGATCAATTGTGAGAGCTTTTGTGTGAGGGAGTGCTTATTATAGAGGGCATGAGCATACCCAGCAATCATGCATATCATTTAGGTTCCCAACATGCTGCCCAGCAAATGGATCCCATGCATAGGACTTGGCATCCTTCCACTGAAATCCTTCCCTTTAATTGATTTAAATAGATAATTCAATTAAAATAATTATTCGAATCAAACTTCATATCTTTTTGGCAGGTTCCTTGGGGGCCTCTGCCCTCAATGTTATTTTAGTATTTTCTTTATTTGTTTTCTCACCAGGCTGACTTTGGCTCTCTGAATCCTTGGAAAAGTTTATGTCATTGGGCAATTACTGCACCCTTGTGGAGTTTTTTACTTGAAAGACAGGGAATGAAAAAAACCAAAATATTCTGGAGAGATGTTATAATGTGAATTTTGACCAATAGATGCCAAAAAACCACTGAGAATGGTGCATGGTCAGAGTTACCCATCCGTTCACTTGCAGTGCAGATTCAGAGTAGCCATCCAGCCTGTTAAAACTGTATGTTGAGGATGAATGATAGTATCCACCCTATTGGTACTGTCTTTTTTTATAGCCTCATTTTTCCCTTAATGGATGTTTTCTTGAAATACGTAACATTTGTGTCAGATCTAAGGAATTCTCATATAACTCTTCTAATTTTTGAAATACCATAAGTAATCTTACTTGTTCTATACAACTGTGTTGGAAACTATGTGATTCAGAAACTGTCAAGAAGGAGACAAAGCAACCGAGCCAGAGTAACTGTACCAGCACCTCCACAGCTAACACTGGAGGGGCTAATAGTCTCTAAATAGAGTTCCAGATAGCAATGTGAATAAGTAAAAAACAAACTGCTGTATGTTTTAACCTTTAGCATGTGTAAAAGTTGCAGTCCTGTCTAAGGGGTGTCATCATCTCAACCTGAGTCACAGATGCCTAGGAATCCAGATGTGGCCTCTCCCAAGCTCACCATGCTCTTGAGCATGATAGAAAGATCTGTCACAGAAGAGAATGGCCTTTTCTGGTGCTGCTCTATGATGAGCACTGGACAGTGAGTCTTCGGATTTGATCCATGAGATCTGTCATTGATTAGCTGTATGACTTTGGAAAGTGCTTTTGTTTTTCTTGGCTTCAGAATACCCAGCAGACCAGATGATCTATAAAATTGTATTCAGATTCTATTATCTACTTTTAGTCACAAGAGCCTTAATTTCTGAGACTGCAATGTTAATCCTATTTGAAAATTGTCTCTAAGGAAAAAAATTGCTTCAACAGGGCAAGAAGCCAGCCATGATTATATTATTCTGGCAGAAAGTCAAACCTCTTGATCCAAGGGAACTCCTGTTTACCAGCATATTATAAATATAGTTCTAAAAAGTAACCTGGAGGTATTGTTGAGGATGTTTTGATGAAGTGTAAATCTAGCCATTTTATAGAGGGCAAGATACACACCTGGAGAGATGTCGTTGGTAGTTCCTCATCTACCTAGCAGCAAGGCAGAGTCTGAAAGTGAGGAAGAGGAAGGGATCATGGCCGAGGGAGCCAGAGCAGGAAATCTGAGAAGGAACGCAGTGAGGCTCAGTCCTCCTGCCATTCAGCCACGGTACCCCTGCAGATCTTGCTCTGGGTAGGGCTCACCCCAGGATTTATATTAAATAATGTGTGGGAAACCCTGAGGGGTATGGGGAAGAAAAGCCATTAAACAGTATTTATGTCAAACAGACTAGGTCAAACAGAATGTTTCTTCCACACCTTATTTCTCTGAATTGCTTCTATGCAGGATTACCCATTTTAGAGGAGTCAGCTACCAGAGGGAAACCCTTTGCACACACATTTCATCCATTGCAAGTTTACCTGGCTAATAAACTGAAAACAATTTATGTGCTAGCTCAGTCACTTTCACATTGCTGAGACAAAACACCTAACACCCAAAATGTAAAGGAGGAAAGGTTTCTTTTTGCTCATGGTTTCAGTCCCTGGTTGGCTGCTGTCATGGGTTGGTAACTGGTGGTCAACTGATAACCCCCAGCTGAACTGAGTAGGCATGGGAGACTCACTTGGGGACTGTTGCCAGCAGCATAACAGGCAGAACTGGAGAAGGAGCAGAGAAGGCTGTTGAGAGTGGAAAAAGGCAGTTGGGAGCGGAGGAAGGCTGTTGGAGCTGGTAGAAGCTGAAAGGAGCAGTTGGTTGTTTCAGAGGAGCTCGTCATACTGGCTTTCCTGATGAACTTGGCTGTTTTCATCCTTCGAGGAGCTCAGGACCTCGTTGGCACTGAGAATGGCTTTGGCTCACTTTAGGGGAGCTCTGGTCCTCACTTTGAGCATTGCTTCCTGGCTTCGGAGGGGAAGATGTTGCATTGCCAGTTTCCTTGAAAAATTTGCTGCATTGGCTTCTCTGATGGGAATTCAGCCATCTTGATCACTGAAGGAGCTCAGGACCCCACTGTTGCTGAGGATAGCTGTGGTACCTTTCATGGGATCCAGGCCCTCAGCTGGATTCCTTGGTCTTGGTGTGTGGACAGATTTCCTGCACTCTTTTGTATATCATTCTTTGGGTGATTATTATAAATATCTTATAAGATATGTGTCCTGTATTATATATTGTTCCCCTTACAAAAATATCCCCCAAACCAACACAGTTGCTTTCAAGGCAGAAATGATGCGGTGAGGGTCCTTGGGGAAGGAAATCTACTTACATCATAATGGCTCTGAAGCATAGAGAGAAGGGAGGAGCCAAGCAACGATATATATCCTTCCTGGCCACGCCCCCTATTACCCAACTCTTCCACCAGGCCCTATGCCCTAACAGTGCATTCAGCTCTAAGTGTGGCACCACCATGACACAATCACCTTCTAAAAGCCCACTTCAGAGCACATGAGATTTGGAGGACATTCTAGACCTAAGCCATAGCACATGTATGGAAAACATTTTATATGCAGATATATTATACAGGAGCCAGATCAAACTGCAAGTGCAAAGGAGCTGGTGATTTAAAATGTGTACTATTCTTTTATTCCTTTGAAATGTCATTTTAAATATCCAGAAAATTGAGAAGTAACAAAAAGGTCCCTTCAGAGTGTAATGAAACAGAAGAAATTAAGTTATCTCCTAGGCCTATTCATACAAAAATAGTCTAATAAACTGTTACTACTGTAAGAAATTAATAAACTGTTGCTGTTGTAGGAAAATATTTGACCAGTTTGTCAGCCAAATTCATGGGTGTTAGTGTTATCAGAGAACATATGGAACATGCAGAATTCTTGGCTGGTGCAGGGGTTCTGACATAGTAGTTCTGCAGTGCCCAGGAATATGCATTTTAAATAAGAACTCAAGCCATTTTCCCAGACTACATTTTCAGAACCACTAACCTAGATAAGATTCCCTGAAAACTCTAACTTACTGGTGGTGCATAAGTTTATTTGCAACTTCTGTAGCTTACCAGGAATTCTTAGCTAAGTCTCTGTTAAGAGTTACGGAAAAGCAAGCACTGGGATAATGGCCAGGAGGCCTGGACCTTCAGCTCGGCCACTAAAGAATTTGCTTTGTCTCTCATACACTAAAATGGATCACTAAGGGCAAATATTAGGAAGCAGATTATTAATGTGATAGCAGAAAAATCTAGATTTCACTTTTTGAAACAAAGATCAGCAGCAGATATTATGGTAATCCTAGCTTAGTGCTTTAGTCCCCTTCCTAAGCCCAGCACCGATTCACCTGCTACATACGAGGAGGAAATACTCAATTCAGTTGAGTGCAAATGGTATTTGCCAAACACTCCTTAGAAGTCAAACTAGAACTCCAAGCAAGTAATGAAAGAAATAAGACCTGCTCTCTCTTCTTCTGGAGACTTCATGTTTCATTCTCAGAATTCATGCTTTCATGAGATTCATTAGAATTAATATCATCCTGTATTTAAGTTATATGATGTGGATGAAGCAGCACTGAGAGACAAAAGAAGGAAACATCTAAGTAGGGAAGAATTAGGTCTTTGAGGTCTTTGTGGAGAAAATGAAGTGATGGGCAAGGTCTAAGTTCCTTGGACAAACTAGAGGTGTGAATCCTAACTCTCGCTCCACTGAGACTACCTAACACCATGGGACGTAACAATGTGTCTCTCCTTAACTGCAGAGGTTCTTTTCTCTCTCCTTCTTTACCCTGCTGTCACTTTCAAAGTTTATAGGAGAAATACTGAGTTAATTAGAGCGAATTATTAAGTGGCCACTGGGCATCTCACTGAATTCAGATTAAGTAATCTATAAAGGCTTCCTCTCCTTTACATTCCTCTTTTTGGGAATTAGTTCATTCTTCCCAGATGAATAGTGACTGTAGACAGCACAGTGTTATGATTCAGGGAATGCATTCTGGAGTCTGACTAGCATGAATTTTGGCTCTAAGTGAATCATAGATCTTTGCGAGCAGTGTGACCCAATGTACAGAATGGCTCCAGACCTCAATTCCCCATCTGTGATATGGGTACTATTATGATGTTATGGTTTAGATCTAAAATGTCCCACAAAGGTTCATGTATCCAGAAGTAGGACTTTCAGAAAGTGACTAGATCATAACAGCATTATATTTCTCAATGGATGCGCCACTGATAAGTTTCAGCTGACTGTGTTGTTAGGAAGTGGAGTCTATTTGGAGGAAGTAGGTGTCTTGATTACTTTTCTCTCGTTGCTGGAACAAA